AGCTGGCCTACAATCAGAAGACTTATTTAGCTTTGAGGAAGAGTGCTGCTTTGGCAGAGGCCTTAAGAGACACACATGGGCTCTCCTGTCGATCTCAGATTTTCGAGTCCCTGGCCTATAATGCGGTAAAGCACGTTCGTGCTATCAGTGATGCCAGAACAGCGGTACAGGAGTTTTCTCAGCTGATCCTAGCGATTACCTCCAGCGGAGAGTCTTTGACCGGAGCATGTGAGCCAATCATTGAAGGCTTCAAAGAGGCGTTGAACAGGGATGCTGCTAATGGATCCTATCTGTCTCTCGCCACTGCATATGTGAACTTGACTGCTGTCTCGTGTTGCAAGACCGATACGAGCATCGTTCGATTGCTATTGGATCGATGCTTTGCCGACCCCACTGTGCGTCCTGATGACCTCCTACTGCATGCTCGGCCTCTCACCATCCTAGCTCTCTCTAATGGTGCACGTAGAGAAGAGCTGAAGCATCGTCTGGCGAGTGCCCTGGTAGCTCCATCTGATGAGACACTCTCTACGCCGTCGCTCTTACAAGAGTCTGTTGCCTGCCTGTTGCTCTTGGGTGAAGATATCCGGTCTGTTTGCGAGCGCCTAGCGCTGAATATTGAGAATGTCGAGAGGACGGCTGCTGCTATGCGAGCGCGGTTCGAAGTTTCTGCATGACGTTTCCGTATTCACAATGTGAGGTTGTGTTCATAAGTTCCTCGTTTTCAAGTGGTATTGTAAACTCCTGCGAACCCACGGTTGGACACTTGACCGTTGTTGCGGCAAGAAGTACACGCATGAACTCGTGGCTATGAGCTCATACTCGCAAGGGACACCTAATGGGAACTCATTGCGCGTGCCCAGCTGGTCCCTGTGGGACTGCAGCATATTCATTTTTTCAATTCCTCCTAGCCTCTTGTTCGATCCGTCCTGCTCGCAATCACTAACAGCCGCACATCGGATGGCATGGCGCATGGCATTTGTTCCAAGTTACCGTTATATCCTCAGAAAAGGTCCCTTTCGGATCACCGAAGGAATCATATCAACTACGCGAGGAACTCGAGTTCGAATAGCACGTACACTAAACAGGATCCCAGAAACTCCCTTCACATCACCGAAGAGTTACTGGCGACCTGGAACTACACTCAACCTGCTCCATCGTGACCAGCGACAGGCAGTCGGTCGGCATATTGAGAGAAGAGTTAGCGCAGTGATAGCCTGACACACTGCCTCTTTAAAGTGAGGTACCAAACTTATTCTTGCTTAGTTTGCGCGTAAGCTCTCTTGATGGTACAACGGATACCGGGCTGGGGTGCCAGAATTGGACTGAGGGTTCCTAGATCACATCCAGGCCTGGAACTAGTGAGGCAACCATGGCTGGACTCCAGCCACTGGAGAAAAAGGCGCAAGTGACGTGGGCCACGACATGTTGAGTCGATACCTATGCGTGCACCGTGACGCAACAACGCCAGCACGTCACGGGCTATGAACAAAGGCAATGATCCCCAGGATGCGTGTGACCCCCTTATGGTCGCTCCTTTGACATCGTTGCTTTGTCATTTTAGGAGACCGATTTCTCCCTTTGATGCGATTCCTGGTGTTTAGCCTCGTCTTGGTCTCCTATCTATCAGTGGTCGGAGCTAGCGGGTATCACTACGAGTTCCAAGTTGAAACAAAGCATCACTGCCTTGATGACGTTCATGATTCTTTCGGTGAACCCCTCCCTTGCCAGAAGTCTGTGGAGATGGAGACCCTAGGGCTCACACTGCCCGGCATGGAAGATGGGGTGCTCACAACAAGAAGCCACATAATTGCGGGCGCTGATTACGAGATCTCAGTGGACTCTCATCCTAGTCACCCGTACCAATACTTCATGCATATCAGGACAACGGAGTCCTACCGTGTGGAACACCTCATCAACGGCCGGAGCGTTCTGGTTGGTGAGGTGCCGTCGCACCCGCAGGTTACTCCCGCGATCCGGTCAGTCTCTGATCTCGAGCAGGATGGTTGGGCGTTCCTTGAGGTCGACTGCCGCGGGGACTATTGTGAGGACATCTGGACGAAGAAGAGTACCGTTGAGCCAAGTACGGCTAATGGCATTCACCTTACGGGGATGTATGCGAGCAACATTATGCCCGACACGTGGTTTATCTACCTACGTCATGATGATGGAACGCCATTGAGGATTGAAGCCACCAATGAGAGACATGGCGGGACCATTCACCAGCAAACCTTTTTCACCAAATTCCAGAAGCACCCCCACGAGCATTCGATAATGGTCGCTCGGCAGCGAATGTTGGATGCCTATCTCATTGATAACGACGCTGACTCATTTACTCACACGGCAGTGGAGCACACACACCACTTCAAGACGCAACTGTTCTCTGGTATGGTTCCTGTTGCATCGAGGATTCCCCCTATGGTATCAGATTGGATTCCAGCATCGCATTTCGAGAGTACAGGAATCGTCCCGTACCATGTTATCGAGCCAGGGTCTGCTGCAGATTTTTATTTCTC